ATATATACATATATATACATATATATACATATATATATACATATATATATACATATATATATACATATATATATATACATATATATATATACATATATATATATACATATATATATATACATATATATATACATATATATATATACATATATATATACATATATATATACATATATATATACATATATATATACATATATATATATATATATATATATATATATATATATATATATATATATATATATATATGTATATATATATGTATATATATATGTATATATATATGTATATATATATGTATATATATATGTATATATATATGTATATATATATGTATATATATATGTATATATATGAATAAGCACATGAATATGTATATGAATACCTATATGTGTGTATGTGCTTACATGTGTGTGTATATATATGACAAACTTTCATCATATAGGCCTAGATTTTGGTAGCATAGAGTATGAAGTGGATTCTTATGTGATGACAAACCACTGGGAAATTCTATGGGCTCTATCTCCCAATAATATACATTGGCCCTTGCTATAGATCCCAACTGTCACATATACAGACATAAGCTAATAGCGTATGCATATTTTTTCTATCTTTTAGAGACCACAAGTTTCACATTAATGAAACCCTTGTGCATTTTACACCAATAGTACAATGAGACTTTCCTCTACATTTTGACAACTGTCCAAATAATTCTAATAAAGCGGTCACACCAATTAAGTATAGCCTCTACCCCCAGGCTCTATAGATCGTTACCTGCCCCCAAGTACTAGGAATAACGGGGCCCTAATCCCTGTGGCACCAGAGAGGCTTAAATTCCCAAACACTAGGGCAGTACTTGGATGCTTTAGCCTACTGAGCACGTAACAATTATGCAAATTTGACATTTGACTGATCATGATATTATTATTGATAGATTTCTCTCACTTTCTACTACCTATATATAAAGAATTTATAAAATGGAACATCTCCTGCCAAGAATGTAGGGGTTTGGGATTTCTGCGGCAAATGACACACACGCGGATGGCAGAGAAAGAAAAGAAATCCACTAATGTTAATATCCCCGAGATCAGTTGCGCGGAGGTGATATAAACATTTACCAACATTTATCTCAAATAGTATTGATATCCTTCATACTGAACGGTGTCCATGAATATCAAATATCTACGTAAAGTAAAGTATATAAAAAAAAAATCCTGTAATGAAAGAATCAATAGCTTTATTAAATAACAATCTTCATGCCAGCCGTCTTGTCTCTGACTAACAAGAAGCAAGAAGAGTGAGACTGAGGTTGAATAACAACAATAAGAAGA